GAAAGACAAAATGTAGGGCGGCTGGGTCTTGGTCTCCTAATGTCTTACGGTGTTTAGTTGTAGAAAACCAGCCTGAATGAGAATAGACCAGGGAGGACATGACCACAGGTCTGACAGTTTTCATTATCCACAAGTTCAGCAGTTAGTAGTATGAGCTGGCCACCAAAAAGTGACAGCACTGGGTAATAGTTATTGAAAATTGTCACCTGCCATGCTCAGGATTTATGTGCATTAACTACCTTGGTTCTGGAAATGATCTCATGAAGTGGGAAACTGAAGGTCAGAGAAGGTAAGCCATGGTCCAAGGCCATGTAGCCAGTGTCTCTGTGCTGTTGACTGCCTTCTGCTGCCTTCCCTTTCTGTGAAATGGGGCTAAGCATCATGTGGAGACAGTTTGATTTCTGCTCATACCCTAAACGGGTCCTTCGCTGAGCAGGTACATATTACTAGTGTACCCACATGATTATTCAAAAACTGTCACCTAAATATGCATGTGTGCTCTCTTGCCAATGTGCACACTCACCTACATGTGGATTCCTTTCTGGGCCTGAGAACCCAGAAGAAGCAGGCCCCACCCCAGACAAGCGCCTGCTCGCAGCTTCCCAGAATAGGCTGTGGCTGGGGCAGCAAGCTTAGACTCGATCGAAGACCAGCGGCTTCCTGCTCCACCGGGGCACAGGCTGGCTCTTCTCCTGAGGGTTCCATGGACCCCACCCTCACCCTAACCTTGGCTTTGATTCTGCCTTGACATTGAAAACTAATACTAGCTAGTATGTGTGATGTGCTGTCTATGCAGCAGGCACTACGCTCAACACGTTAATGTGCACGATCTAATTTCATCTTCAGAAAGCCTCATGAAGGCTGCACCCTAAGAGCTCCACCTTATAGACAAGAAACTGAGACCCATTGATGTTGATTTACTTAACCAAAGTTACGAAGTTAGCAAATGGTGGAGCTGAGACTTGAACCCAAACAGTCCTATTCATAAGTGATCACAGCTTCTGGCAGCATAGAGAGGAGGAAAGAACCTAGCTCTAGTCCTCACCCTGTGACTTTGGGCTAGTCCCTTTCTTTCTTTCCCAGTGCTAGACAGAAGGAGATGATCTCTGAAAGCTCTTTCAGCATTCATTCTGTCACTTCTCCTAATTCCATATTCTCTCATTCTTCAACGGGTGTGTATTTATTTATTTATTCTGAAAGCTTATTCATTACTTTCACGAGAGTGAAAAACAAAGAGAGAGGGAGAGAAGAAGAACACCTTCCATAGGGTTTCACATCACAATCCATCCCATAGCCTTCTCAACCAGCCAGAATCATGGACGCATGTACCTGGAATGTACACCATGGCATGTTAACCAGGGAACCAAACCCATGACCCTCTGTGGATCCAGCTTCATGTTACTGCTGTGCCACTGCACGGCCCACCATGAGTATTTACGGAGCCCGGTTATGTACCGGCAGTGATTCACCCACGAGTAAGACATTCAAAGCTCCTGTCTTCACGCACCCCAATGTTGAGTTAGGGAAGCACTCATTAAACAGATAAACACGACCTGATTGAGAGTAGACACCAAGAAAATAGCATAAAGTAATAAAGAAGAGGGTCGAGAGGGAGGATATGGCACACTGCATCTCAAGAGGTAACATTAGACCTGGAAACTGCATGACAAGAAAGAACCATCCATGTGAGTTGTTTTGTTTTTGCCGTAGAGTGTGTTGCTTGCTGGTGAGAGACAGAGAGGGGGAAAGTGAGAAATCACTCCCACAGGAGAGATTCCACAGGCTATTCTGGGAAGATTCAATCCCTTCTCCTCCATTCTCCTCCTGGGATTTTGGGCATGTGCACACACACACACACACACACACATGTGCTCAACATGATTTTCAAGCCACCAGGTCTGGGACTTGAACCACACTTGGCCATATGGAAGCCCAGAGCCTTAACCACCATGCCACCTGCTGGTCCCCATGTGAGCATCTTAAGTAGAGGGAGACAGTAAGTGCAAAGATCCTGAGGTAGATCTAGTCTGATGTGTTTGCAGAGGAGGAAGGTGGCCTGTGTGGCTAAAGCTTGGGGAGCAATGAGAAGAGTACTAGGAGGTATCACCGGAGAAGCAGGTAGGGCCCAGATAGTGTGGGGCCTTCCAGGTCATGATATAGTTTAGATTTTAATCTAAGTGCTATGGAAAGCCATGAAGGAATTTTTAAGCCAGAAAGTAATATGAATTCATTTATGTTTTCACAAGATGCTTCAAAATAGTGGTCCTGGATGCTGTGGGCTTGGAGAGTGGCTCAGGGAGCCCAAAGTGCTTCTGCATCCTGAAAGCCTCTTCACTTATTGGGACCTGGTACCAGGAAACACTGTCCTGATACAATTCCTTCTCTCACCAAACTACCAGCCACATCTGCAGGTCCTACAGCTTGGACACAGCCATGGGCACCAAACTCCCACCTAAGGGTGCATTTTATGCTTCTTATCCAGCTCCAGGGAGACCCCATCCCTGCTCCTTTCCCTGTAACTCATCTTAACGGCCCTCTTTGCAAGGCGCCAGTGTGCCGCTGAGCTGTGAGTCTTGTTGAGGCCTGCCCGGCACTGGTGCTGACCTGGGGAACAGGAAGCTTTCCCAAAGCTGGGGAGGCACAGTGTGAGGCTGCATGTGCCCTGTGCCTTCTGAGCTGTGAGCGAGCAGACCTGCAACTAGGGTAAGGACTCATTTCCTCTGGGGTTTTGACTTTAAGAGCAATGCCATTCTGTGAGGGTTGGGCTGAATGATGCAGGGGTCCTTCCTGTTTGTGGGACTGTCTAAGATTTCGCTTTTGCCTGCGGCTGGCTTCACGAAGGGCTACAGTGGTAGGCGGGGCTCTTTCTGCCACTGACCTTAGGACTCCACAGGTAGACTCTGCCTCCATTCTGCATGCTCTTTTCTGAGTGCCTGGGCTTCAGGCGCCACCAACAGGATAACAGGATCTCAAGGGAAGATGGTGGTAGTGAACTGAAAGGATGGGGGTATATTCTAATTTTTTTCTCACATACTTTTGAACAGTGAACTGGATGGCCTTTTCTGTCCTGCCTCCCGTCTCGAAATGCTATCAGCAGAGTCTTATGAAACCCTGTATCCTGTTCACTCAGGACTGGGAAGACAGAGCACCAAATCCCTGCTCTTACTCTTGCCCCAAGTTTAACTCTTCCTTGCCTTTGAAGAGCGAGGCAACTGGAAAAGCGAGTCTTGCCTGTTTCATCCAGGAATGCTCCAGCACATCTGGCTGGCAGCCAGGAGGCTCCTAGGGCAGACTAGGTACCAGCCTGATGCACCCAGCCTTACCCTGGCCCTTCCCAAGCTCTGCCCCACCCTGCCCCAGATGGGTGCTATAGGAAATGGCAAGGAAGAGAACCGGGAAAAAAGCGGGTCTCAGAGGAGCAGAGTATTCATTCCTGATTTAATAAGAACTAGTTCTTAGGGACTGGCTCTTACCTGACCACCCACTGTGTCACTTGGTGCAAGACCAGACTCTCTCTGGGGCTCTATTTCCCTATCTGTGCATGAGGAGTGGGCTCAGATCTGTCATCTCTAAGATCTATTTTGTTTCATCTCTGACATTCCTGAAGTCTAGGAGTTTTCTGTATTCTAGAATACAAGATGAGTTCGACTCAGACCCTGTCCATAGGGACATGTCATGGGATGGGGATAAAGAAGTATGGGGCAGAGTGAATAGCCCCAGCCTGTGACTTGAAGAGCTCCAGTCTTCACTCTTGCTCTTGCTCCAGGGAGCTGTAAAACCCTGGGCAGCTCCCTTCCTTTTATGAATCTCGGGTTCCTACAATGAATAATGGCTAACATCAAGTTAAAACTTCCTATATACTAGATACCCTGCTAAGTCATTCACCTTCATTATTTCATTTCATTTTCAAAACAATCTGATCAGATAGACAATATTGGGTTGTCGGGAAAGTCATGACACAATTTTGCATAGAAAAGCATGTCATGACTGTTCCAATGATCCAATATTTTTATCCCTATTCTATAGAAGAGGAAATTGAGGCTCACAGAGGTTAAGTAACTTTCCCAGAAAGTCATGCACCCAGCAAATGGTGAGTCGAGAGCTGAGAGCCAGGAAGCCTGGTGTCAGGCTGGGATCTCACTCACTTTGGTTTTCTGCAGCTCCTGCACAAGCAGATGCAGCATAGTTTGGCTGGACCAAACTTCCAGACCTGCTGGAACCCAGCCTTCACAGGAAGGACAGAGAAGGAAGAGCAGTTTAGAGCTAGATTACTAAGCTTGGATTCCTGGCTAAAGAGTGGGGAGCCATGGAAGATTTTGGGAAAAGGCGTAAGTGATCAAGACCATGTTGTATTTGCTGGGTGTCCTGGAAAGCATTTTGAACTACTCTGTTATTCTTCAACCACAGGATTTTTCAATCTCAGCACTATTGACATTTGAGGCTTGATAATTCCTTGTTGTGGGATACTGTCCTGTATATAGCAAGATGCTAAGGAGCATCCTCGGACTTCACCCACTATGTGCCAATAACTCACTTCCCCGAAACTGAGAAAGCTAGAAATGTCTTAGACATTGCCAAATGGCCCCTATAGATCAATCACCACCAGCTAAGAACTACAGTGTCAGGACCAAAAGATGGTATAATGGCTATGTCACTGGACTCCCATGTAGTTGACCGTGGTTCGAGTCCCGGACCCGGTTGCTTAAACTCATGCCAGGCATGTATGGGTGTTTGCCTAAGATCTCAAGAGAATAATGGAAGAGAAGGGATCATGGTGTAGCCATCCCCCCTGGAAGGGGGTGATTTCTCACTTTCTGTCTCTTTCTGGAGAGCACACACACCCTATTGCAAAAACCTCTAAAAAAAGTTGATGACCCACCCCCTTTTTAAAAACATTCTAAAAAAAAAAAAAAAAAAAAAAAAAACTACAGTGACTGTAACCATTCTTTCCTAATCTATCCATCTTTTTTTTTGCCCAGGGATCCAGGACGTTTTTCACCATGACTGTTGCCTTACTGGGTTTTGCCATTTTCTTGCTCCATTGTGTGACATGTAAGAAGCTTGTAGAAGGCACCATCTCCCCCTCATCTTGGCGCTTCACACACTCCCTTTACAATGCCACCATCTATGAAAACTCTGCCCCCAAGACCTATGTAGAAAGCTTCGTGAAAATGGGCATGTACCTTGAAGAGCCCCAGTGGGCAGTGCGGTACCGGATCATCTCTGGGGATGTGGCCAATGTATTTAAGACAGAAGAGTATGTGGTGGGCAACTTCTGCTTCCTGAGAATAAGGACAAAGAGCAGCAATACAGCCCTTCTGAACAGGGAGGTACGAGATAGCTACACCCTCATCATCCAAGCCACAGAGAAGACCTTGGAGTTTGAAGCTTTAACCCGTGTGGATGTCCACATCCTGGACCAGAATGATCTGAGGCCCCTTTTCTCCCCACCTTCCTATAGAGTCACCATCTCTGAGGACTTGCCCCTAAGGAGCCCCATCTGCAAGGTTACCGCCACAGATGCTGATCTGGGCCAAAATGCTGAGTTCTATTATGCCTTTAACACAAGGTCAGAGATGTTTGCCATCCATCCCACCAGTGGTGTGGTCACTGTGGCTGGGAAACTCAATGTCACCTGGCGAGGGAAGTATGAGCTTCAGGTGCTGGCTGTGGACCGAATGCGGAAGATCTCCGAGGGCAATGGATTTGGCAACTTAGCTGCCCTGGTCATCCATGTGGAGCCTACCCTCAGGAAGCCCCCAGCCATTGCCTCGGTGGTGGTGACTCCACCAGACAGCAACGAAGGGACCACCTATGCCACTGTAGTGGTAGACGCTAACAACGCAGGAGCTGAAGTGGACTCATTGAATGTTGTGGGTGGTGACCCTGGAAAGCACTTCAAAGCCATCAAGTCTTATGCCAGGAGCAATGAGTTCAGTTTGGTGTCCATCAAAGACATCAACTGGATAGAACACCTTCATGGATTCAACCTCAGCCTCCAGGCGAGGAGTGGACCCAGACCTTTTTATTCCCAGATCAGGGGCTTCCATCTACCTGCTTCCAAACTGGCTGCCCTCAAATTCGAGAAAGCAGTTTACAGAGTGCAACTGAGTGAGTTCTCCCCACCTGGCAGTCGTGTGGTGATGGTGAAGGTGACCCCAGCCTTCCCTAACCTGCAGTATGTTCTAAAGCCATCCTCACAGAGTGCAGGATTTAAACTGAATGCTCACAGTGGGTTGATCACCACCACGAAGCTCATGGACTTCCACGACCAAACCCGCTATGAGCTACACATCAGAACGTCACCAGGCCGGGCTTCCACCACAGTGGTCGTTGACATCGTGGACTGTAACAACCATGCCCCCGTCTTCAATAGGTCTTCTTATGAGGGCACTTTGGATGAGAACATCCCTCCAGGTACCAGTGTTTTGACAGTTACTGCCACAGATCGGGATCATGGGGAGAACGGATGTATCATCTATTCCATTGCTGGTCCCAAAGTTCTGCCATTCTCTATTGACCCCTACCTGGGAGTCATCTCCACCTCCAAACCTATGGATTATGAGCTTATGAAAAGAATTTACAACTTTCGGGTACGAGCATCAGATTGGGGTTCCCCATTTCGCCGAGAGAGGGAGGTGTCCATTTCTCTTAGGCTCAAGAACTTGAATGACAACCAGCCTGTGTTTGAGGAAGTCAACTGCACGGGGTCTATCCGCCAAGACTGGCCAATAGGGAAGTCGGTAATGACTGTGTCAGCCATAGATGTGGATGAGCTTCAGAACCTAAAATATGAGATTGTGTCAGGCAATGAGTTGGGGTATTTTGATCTAAATCATTTTTCTGGGGTGATATCCCTCAAACGCTCTTTCATGAATCTTACCGCTGGGCAGCCCACCAGTTATTCCCTGAAAATTACAGCCTCAGATGGCAAAAACTATGCCTCACCCACAACTCTGAATGTCACTGTGGTGAAAGACCCTCATTTTGAGGTGCCTATAAGCTGTGATAAAACAGGGGTCCTGACACATTTCACAAAGGCCATCCTTCATTATGTTGGGCTGCAGAACATGGAGTCCAGTGATGAAGAATTCACTGCCTTAAGCACCTATCAGATCAATCACCATCCCCCTCAGTTTGAAGACCACTTCCCCCAGTCCATTGATGTCCTCGAGCGTGTTCCTGTCAACACTCCCTTGGCCCGCTTGGCAGCCACTGACCCTGATGCTGGCTTTAACGGTAAACTAGTCTACGTGGTTGCAGATGGCAACGAGGAAGGCTGCTTTGACATTGAGCTGGAGACAGGGCTGCTCACTGTAGCTGCTCCCTTGGACTATGAAACAACCAGTTTCTACGTCCTCAACATAACAGTGTATGATCTAGGCACTCCCCAGAAGTCCTCCTGGAAGCTGCTGACAGTGAATGTGAAAGACTGGAATGACAATGCACCCAGATTTCCCCCTGGTGGGTACCAGTTAACCATCTCAGAGGACACTGAAGTTGGAACCACAATTGCAGAGCTGAAAACAAAAGATGCTGACTCAGAGGACAATGGGAGGGTTCGCTACACCTTGTTAAGTCCCACAGAGAAGTTTTCCCTCCACCCCCTCACTGGGGAACTGGTTGTCACAGGACACCTGGACCGGGAATCAGAACCTCAGTACATACTCAAGGTGGAGGCCAGGGATCAGCCCAGCAAGGGCCACCAGCTCTTCTCTGTTACTGACCTTCTAGTCACACTGGAAGATGCTAATGACAATTCTCCACAGTGCATCACAGAACACAGCAGCCTGAAGGTCCCAGAGGACTTGCCCCCTGGGACTATCCTGACGTTTCTGGATGCCTCTGACCCTGACCTGGGCCCTGCTGGTGAAGTGCGATATGTCCTGTTGAACGACGCACATGGGACTTTCCGGGTGGACCTGATGACTGGGGCGCTCAGTCTGGAGAGAGAGCTGGATTTTGAGAAGCAGGCTGGGTACAATCTGAGCCTGTGGGCCAGTGACGGCGGGAGGCCTCTGGCCCGCAGGACCCTCTGCCATGTGGAGGTGATAGTCCTGGATGTGAATGAGAATCTCCACCCTCCCCACTTTGCCTCCTTCGTGCACCAGGGCCAGGTGCAGGAGAACAGTCCCTCGGGAACCCAAGTGATGATAGTGGCTGCCCGCGACGATGACAGTGGCTTGGATGGGGAGCTCCAGTACTCCCTGAGGGCTGGCACCAGTCTCGCAGCCTTCAGCATCAACCAAGACACAGGTATTGGGGGTAGGGTGGGATGGGATTGTGAGGGCCAGGGGAAGTTAGGCTGAAGGCAAATCAGGGACTATCCTAAAAGAAAACAAGTTGCAGGCTAAGAAAAAGATGTCCCATTGTTACATGATGTGAAAACCAGTTTCAGAAGTACTGTCTATTGGGTGAGCCCCACAGCATAGCATCATAGATCAATACATCTTTTCCTGTTTAAAATTGCTGCATATTACTCTATTGTATAGATAGATATAACATCCTAGTTCATGTATCATGATATTTTCAAATTGACCTCCAAAAAGCCACACCGACATATTTATTCTTTTTAAGCTTCATGGAAAATAAATGCAATTCAGCAAACACTGAGCACTTACTACTTATGAGGTCCTAAGATAGGCACCTTGTGAAGATCCAAAGTGAATAAAGGCAGGTTGCTGCCTTGATGAATTCATAGTCTGGTGGGCTATTTACTTCCAGGGCAAAGGGCAAGATGATGTGATAGAAAGAGCATTAGATCAAGAGTTAGTCTTCTACTTACTTGCTCTATGATCACACTAAGTCGTGCTCCCTCCAGGGGCCTCGGTTTCCCCATTTGTCATCTCTGCCATGCCATGGCTATGAGCATGGGCCTTCGTCTCATCTAGGCCCTGCTGGCTGAGTGTGCTCTATGAGAGTTTAGGGCATAAGCTTCTTTCGCTCAATATTGGTCGGTCACCTTCTAGAGCAGTGCTGGCCTGTAAGAAGCAACTTGTGGGGTGAGTGAGTTAAAGAATGAAGCTGAGCCCCTAAAATCAAAAAGACAATGGAGAAGGGAACATTAAGTTATTCACCAAATCCCTAACAGGACTTAAAGCATTAAGGAAGTAGTTTAAAGACACCAAAAAGAAATCCCACTTACAGAACATGAAATAAATCAGTGGAACCTGGGTTGAAGTAGTCAGGAGAAACTAAGCCAACTATTGCTGTCTTCTCAAAACCCTACATAGACCCATATGTTAGAGCCACAGGCCCATTTTAGCAGGGAAAGGCTCTGACAGGTTCTATAAAAAAGATATTAATTCCCCTGTGTTCAAATCAGCATCTCCCAAATTTATTTGCAACAGTTTCCTCCTTTAGTGTAGGATCTAGTAATATCCTTTCCATAGTATAGTTCAGGGAATGCTGAATAAGGTGATTTCTTTTAGAAAGATTTTTGCCAGACCAGCAGTTAGCGTAATGGCTATATTGCTGGACTCCCACATAGCCGACCACGGTTCAAGTCCCAAGCCCAGCGGGTTAAACTCATGCAGGGTGCATGTGCATGCGTGCTCAAGGTCCCTAGAGGAGAAGGGAATGTGGTGTGGCCATCCCCACTAGGGGGTGATTTCTCACTTTCTGTCTCTCTGTCTTTCTGGTGAGCATACGCACCCTAAAGCGAAAACCTCTCCAAAAAAAAAAAAAGATTTTTGCTATCTGGCACCTCGCCAGAGAGACAGAGAGACACAGAGAGACAAAAAGTGAGAAGTCACCCTCCAAGGGAATGGTCATGCCTCAATCCCTTCTCCATTCTTCTCTTGCGATTTTGGGCATGCACATACATGTGCTTGGTGTGGTTTTAAGCTGCTTGGTCTGGGACTCAAACCGTGGTCAACTACATGGGAGTCCAGTGACATAACCATTATGCCATTTGCTGAGTAAGGTGAATTTTTTTTTTTTGAGAGGTTTTTGCTATAGGGCGTGTGTGCTCACCAGACAGACAGAGAGAGAGAGACAGAAAGCAAGAAATCACCCCCCCCTTGGGGGATGGCTACACCTCAATCCCTTCTCCTCCATTCTTCTCTTGGGATCTTGGGCACACACGTGCTCACACCCTGCATGAGTTTTAAGCCTCCAGGTCTGGGACTCCAACCAGTCTACTACATGGGAGTCCAGCAACATAGCCATTACGCTAACTGCTGGTCCTGAGTAAGGTGAATTCTAAAGCCACTTTGAGTTGTAAAATATTTTGAGTTTGTTGATTTACTGTCCCTAGGAATGATTCAGACTATGGCACCTCTGGACCGAGAATTTGCATCCTACTACTGGTTGACGGTACTGGCAGTGGACAAGGGATCTGTACCGCTCTCTTCTGTCACTGAAGTCTACATTGAGGTTATGGATGTCAATGACAACCCACCCCGTATGTCCAGACCTGTGTTCTACCCTTCTATCCTGGAGGATGCACCCTCGGGTACGTCCGTGCTTCAGCTGGAAGCCTGGGACCCAGACTCCATTTCTGAGGGGAAGCTGACCTTCAACATCACCAGTGGGAACCACATGGGATTCTTTGCTATTCATCCATTCACAGGTAAGACCCAAAAATCTGGGAAAAGGACAGGAATCTCTACCATGGGGGTTCTCAAAGTGGGGTCTCTAACCAGCACCATCACCATCATCTACAAACTTGTTGGAAGTTCAAATTCTCAGGCCCCACCCTAGGTCTACAGAACCAGGATTCTAAGGGTGGAGCCCAAGAAACTATATTTATTTTTCATATATTTTTCACATTCAATCACTCTTCATCATTACAGCATACCAAATGAATTTTCCCATCCTGAATACATTGTATATTGGTTCAATCAAAGATATTACCATACATATTATCATCAACAGTTTTCCATTTTTGTGTTCCTTAAATGTTTTTCTTCCCCCCACCCCTTGATTCCCTTCCTCTCACCCTCCCCCAACAAGAGAAGCATGGGATTTTGACGTGCACTAAAACTGGAGAGCACTGTTCCACCAAAGTCCGTCTTCGTGGAAAAATGACAAGAACCTGTCATCAGTTTTGTTTGTTTTTGTGTTTGTTTTTTACCTTTGGAACCTAGGAAAGCTAAGCAGACCTTCAAGTGGTCAAGATGAGGCTATTTCAGACCTCCAACTCTTTGTCCCTGAGTCACCAGCCACAGGTTGCATCCCTCAAGCCTAGTTTCAGATTGATCTCTACCCTATTGACAGAGTGGTGACCATAGGGATCCCCTTACAGAGTCAGTCATCTCCCTAGCATCTTTTCTTGGCCCAAGGTCATCTAGGACAAAGATGGTGGTTGGCTTAGAGGAATTCCCATCAACTGGCATTAGTGAGTCAGAGGTGGCCCATGGGAGTCCAGCGACATAGCCATTACGCTAACTGCTGGTCCTGGAAAAATCTTTCTAAAAGACATCACCTTATTCAGCATTCCCTAAACTTGTCTCCCTGCACAAGTTTTAAATAATGGCTTTTCAAGCTTTGGCCACACTTAAAAATAATTCCACAAACATGCTATATCTCTATTTATTCTTTAAAATAAGAAGATCTGTTTACACTGCCTTCACAGTTCCAGCAGCCATAGTGGACTAGAGCTGACAGCAGCTCCCCAGGTAGACCAGGTAGACCAGGCACCACAGTCCCTACCGCCTCGATGGTATTATTCCAGCCTGCTGCCCTTGTTTACACTATCTGCCTGTCTCTCGTTGGTGCTGGAGTATAAGATACACTTCCTACTGCCCTGGACATTTCTGAAAGGCCATCTCTTTCTCCTGGGGTGTGAATAACAAACCTATTAGAAGACCCTTTTCTTCTGAACCCAGCTTCCTATTCTCCAGCTCCAACAACTTGCTCTTGTCCTGCAAAGATAATACCCTGGCAGGATTGGAAGAAAATTTAAATCCCTGACTCTTAAGTTTATTATCTACCAGGACTTAAAGCATGAAGAAAATAGTTTAAAGACAATTACAAGGAAATCCCACTTGTAGGACATGAGATAAAACAATGGAACTTGGTCAGGAGAAAGTCAGTCAACTACCACGGCCTTCCGAAAACCCTACAAAGGTCCATATGACAGAGGCACAGGCCCATTTCAGCAGAGGGAGGTTCTACAAGATGGATAAATATCCAGTCCTCACCACTGCACCTCCCATGTTATATTTGCAAGTTTCCTCTGGTGATTCTTAAAGCATAAGGGAACAGTGGGGACAATGAGCCTGGGAGCCCTGGGGCAGAAGGTGGGTGGGGGATACAAGTGTATCTTTGCCTAGTGACACTTGTGGAGAACCTTTCCTGTTCACCTCTGACCTTAGGATGTGGATTAGTCTGCTAAGGAGGAGGTTGCTTTTCTCCTGGAAAATAGGCCCAAGCTGGCTCTCTACCTGGGTCTGCCCTGTCCCTCCCTCTTCAGAAAGGGGACAAGATCTCTCACCTAACGTATTAACTTCTCAGCTTCTTCAAAATCCCTCTTCTGTTTACTATCAACAGTTCCCTGCCAGCAGGTCTGGCAAAATGCCCTAGAAAGCAGAGATAATCTTAGTTTTCTTATAGTTGAGGGGAAGAAATCTTTATTAGCATGAACTTTTTTTTTTTTTTTTTGAGAGGATTTTGCTATAGGGCACGTGCACTCTCCAGAAAGACAGAGAGAGACAGGAACAGAAAGCAAGAAATCACCTCTTCCAATTTCCTCTTGGGCATACATGCACACTCACCTGGCATAAGTTTAAGCCACTGGGTCCAGGACTCAAACCACAGCCAACTACATGGGAGTCCAGTGACATAGCCATTACACCAACTGCTGGTCCCAAATGTGAACATTTTTAAAAATAATTGTTCAGCAAAGAGGCCCCAGCTGGGAACCAGCAGTTAACATAATAGCTATGTTGCTGGATTTCCATGTAGTCGACCGTGGTTTGCGTCCCAGACCCGGTGGCTTAAAACTCATGCCGGGCGGATGTGCGTGCATGCCCAAGATCCCGAGAGGAGAGTGGAGGAGAAGGGATTGTGGCGTGACCATCCCCCCTGGGGGGTGATTCCTCGCTTTCTGTCTCTATGTCTCTCTCTGTCTGTCTGGCGAGCGCATGCGCCCTATAGCAAAAACCTCGCCAAAAAAAAAAAAAAAGAGGCCCCAGCCCACCTTTCTCATCTCCACCATTACAGGCCCCACTTCCTAGTCGGATACCTTAGGTTATTTCTCTTAAGGTAACCTTAGCTCCTGCTGTCTGCTGTGTCCCATGACTCATGTTGACATAAAAAACAGCTTTGACTTCATCTTGCTCCTCTGTATGCCACCTTTTAGGATCCAGTCACAAGACCTTCTCGAGTCCACGCTCCCTCCTGACACAGGACTTTGCATGTGCTTCTCTCTTTACCGAGTGTCTCTCCTTTTGCCTGATTAACTCCGGCTCTCCTTTCAGATCCTAGCCCAGCTGTTCCCTCCTTAAAGAAAATTTTCCTGATACCATAATACACTTTCCAGCATCACATACTCCTGTTTATAATACTTATCACCTGAACCACTATGTACACTTATATAATTATTTCACTAATTACCCATGTCCTTCACTAACCTTCAAAGGTTTCTGAGAAAGGGACCTTGACTATTTTTGCCCACCCGAATCTCTTCAGTACCTGGTACACCGTAGAAAATAAATTATTGTCCAATGGATGAATGAATTCTGCCAACACCCACAGACGTTTGCTAAGCCCAAGACTCCTTTGTGTATTCAGCAAATATTTAGTAGTATCTACCCTTACACGGCCTTTAAACCTTGTGCTGCTGAGAGATGTAAAGATTAATAAAATATGGTTTCAAGGCATTGAGGAATTCAGTCCAACAACAGCATAAATGTTTGGATATAAATTCTATAAAACTTGCGTGAAGGCATAACATCGTAAAACACGTGCAGAGGCAGTGTCATGGCTACTCAGAGGAGCGAGGGAGCTGCTTAGATTGGTGCGTCTGCACCAGCTTCACAGAACAGGGGTAGTTACGCTGAGCTGAAGCAGAGAGGGTTGGGACAGGCAGCAGTCTGAAGGCACACGGACAAGGACAATGACATGAACAGTATCCAAGAAGAAACAAGGCCCAGATCCTGTTGAGGATAGAGCGAGGAGGTCAGTTTTCTGAAGGCATAGTCAAGTCCACCACTTACCAATGGTGAGATCTTGCAAAAGTTGCTTAACTGTTCTATGGCGGAGTTTTCTCACCAGTGCTATGGAGTTAATAATAGCTACTTTCCTGGGCAGTTGTCAGGATTAAATAAGTTAATACATAGAGGTAGAGAAAGAGCCTTGAAGAAAGCCTAGGCATGTAAGAGCTCAATGAGCATTGACTATGATGCTAGGGAGGAAAGGAGAGGGAGATAAAGATGGAAAGGCAGTTTGGGGCAAGACCTTGATGTGGTAGGTCAGGATGAATGGAGTAAGGATCAGGAATCTGTAAGAGGTGGAATCAGCAGTAGTTGAAAAACTATTGAATGAGGGAAGAGAACAAGAGAAGGGTCTGAGATGGGCTCGAGATGAGGTAATGGGGAAACACTCATTTGAAGAAAAATGGTAAGAGCTAAGAGCCCAGCTGTTCTTTCCTTAAAGAAATTTAAGTGCCGCCTCACTCCAGGAAAGGTGAGAGGGCACCTCCTTAGGGATCTTGCACAGCCCTATGGGAGTGGCTCTGCCACGTCCCCATTCCACACAGACACTCCCCAGGAATCCTGCCACCAACCCCAAAGAAAGCCACACGTCAGTGATTCCAAGGAAACAAGCACTTGGAAGGTTGGAGAAGCAGTGGCATAGAAAGGCAGAGAGAAATGGAAAACCAAACAGGAGAGAGAGAGAGACTGAAATTCAGAGAGCGCTAGTGGGAGAAGGGAGAGAGGAAGAGCAATCAAAGAAGTGAGAAGGAAGATGGTGAGGGATATACAGAGAGAGAAAAGGGAAGGAGACAGAGATGAAGCAGAAGGAAAAGGGGTGGATAGAACCAGGTCGAAGGTTAACCTGACAAGACCGCCTAGAGCCTTCACTCTTCCTGAGGGGCTCCAGGATCCTGGACTCTTCTCCATCAAACCCTACAACTTGGGTCTGGCCCAGGTAGGGTGACCTGGGACAACACCCTTACTGTACCCAGAGGAGTGTGTCTTTTGTTTCCACTTGTCTTCCTTCTTTGACTGAAAGGGCTCCTGGGTATGGGACTTTGTAGGAGTCCTCTCTGGTACCTCCCATGCCAGTCTTCTGGAAGGGAAGAGAAAGCTGTAAGATTTGGGTTCTGGTGCACAAGGCAAGGGCATGCCTTTGACAGGCCACTTCTCCACATTGCACTCCTATTTTCATTCACCCCATTTCCCTTCTCTGAGCCCCACATAGAAATACTGTTCTTTTCACTGAGCTTTTTGTTTCTACATTTACTTCCTTCATCTCCATCATTTCATCATCTAAACAAGTATAAAATAGGTAGTACAAGTTTTCAGAAAGCCCATTGACCCCTATCAATAGCTCTACTTCCATTTAAAAGCCAGATATCATACCCAGCCATGACCTCTCAAGGCAAGGGAATTGGAATGACCTTCTGGGCCCCTGAGAATGTCCACATTGACTTCCCTAAATCTTGCAAAGAATTGACACCTTCTTTTTTAATTGTCTCAATCTAGAGCCATTGTGACTCAGAAAATTAAAATTAGATTTACAGATCACCAAGCCCAACTTCCTCAGTTTACAGATGAGCTGAGAGGAATCCTTCTCTAACTCATCTGTACCACCTAGTCATGAAAAGATTCAGAGGTAGAACTCAGGTGAATAATATAGTATGTGTATTTTAAGTTGATTGATGATTGATTTCATGAGAGAGAAACAGAGAAAGAGAGATACCCCAAACAGGGTCTTTACACCACAGTCCATCCTCAGTTTCAGTCAGTCTGGATCGCCAGCATGCATGAGAGTAACTGGTAGGCTCAGGGAAGTCTCGGGACACAAACCTAGGACCTTTCACATGTGGGTTGAGTTATATTACCACTACACCACTGCCTGGCCAGCTCCAGGTGGATAATTTACTAATGATAAAGAAGTAAAAAGCTACCACTTTGTGATTTCTCTACACAAGAAATCAATGATTATGAGCTCTGTTATAACTCCTGGCAGGCTACCTTTACTCAGTGACATATCATGTAGAGCATTTCCACATCCACAAAAATATTTTACATGGCTGCATAACATTCCTTTTCTGTATTATTTATATAACTCTTCCCTTATGCAGATGGTGTCCAATTGCTTACTTTTTACAATATTACTGTGATAAACAGCTTTATGCATGCATTTTGCCAGATTTATGCATTTATCTCTTTAGAACAAATTCCTCGATATGCAGTGAGACATTCGGAATTTAAGCCAGAAAGACCTTGAAGGCCATCCAATTCAACTTCTCATTTTACAGAATGGGTAGAATTGAGATACCACAGAAGAGGTGGAGAAATATGCAGCTTCCTGGAGTCAAGATAGGCCACAGAGGGAGTTAATGAGCCCCCACCCCATAAGAAAACTGAAGTTAGAATTAAGGGTTAGTATTGCCATAGAAGAGTGAAGCCAAGCCAGGAAGAAGTGTTCTTCTAGAGTGGAGGTCTCCCACTACCAAGGACCCTGATTGCTTCCTCAGTCCTACTGTGAGCCTCAGCCCACCCCCATCCCAACATATGAAGTCTCAGATGACTTGGTCATCAAAAATTTTTCAGATTTAAAAGATAGAAACACAATCCAGGTTGGTTAAAGCAACAAAATGCATTTTTTTTTTCTTTTACCAAAGAGTCCAGACATATTTGGATGTAGACACTGCTGCAGCCAGTGTTCAAATGATGGAATGAAGGCTCCGCCTCTGCCCATCTCTTGGCCTCAGTTTCTCTGAGTGAGTTCTGTTCTGAAGAGTTTTTCTGCTTGAGAGCAGAGTTTTTCTGCACTCAGATCTGGTTCTATCCTCTCAGCACCTGCAACAGCAAAAGAACTTTTTTCTACAGTTCTCTCAGAGCCCTAGAATTGATTTTCACCAATCTCACAGATGGGCCACTAGTCGAACACAAGAACTGGAGGATAATCTCTGCTGATTGGCCAATTCAAACTATATACCCTTCCCCAGGAGTGGGTCATCCTCACCCCAGATCACAAAGGACTGAAATTAGGAACCCTGAACCCAGGAAAACTGGAGTTTTTATTAAAAGAGGAAATGAATGATGCACAGAAGACATCCAAATGCAAGCATATTTCATGAATTTCAGTGCCAAGGAACCAAAATTGCATCCTAACACTGCTGATACTTACCCCTATGTACCAACAACCCTACTGGTTGTTTCCAGCTGAAGAATCATTCTGGTTGGGCAGCCCTTTGTCTGGGCAGCCCTCTGATTGGTCAGGCTGCATGTTGTGTTGGTTGCTGAGTTTTTGACATATCACCTGTGCTTCATGGGAAAACAGGAAGTAGATGGGAGCTTCAGGTAACATGGTATCTCTGTTCTTTCCCACTTTCTTATTTCTTTTTCCATTCCCTAGATTTCCATTTCTTCTATCTCTGTTCTTTTTTTTTTTTTTCCACTATAGGGCGCGTGCACTCGCCAGACAGACAGAGAGACATAGAGACAGAAAACGAGAAATCACCCTCCAGGGGGGATGATCTCGCCACAATCCCTTCTCCTCCATTCTCCTCTCGGGATCTTGGGCACGCACGCACACGTGCTCGGCGTGAGCTTTAAGCCACCGGGTCCGGGACGAGAACTGCAGTCGACTACATGGGAGTCCAGCGACATAGCCATTACACTAACTGCTGGTTCCCATCTTCTATCTCTGTTCTTTCCCACTTCCTTACCTCTTTTTCCATTCCCTAGATTTCCATTTCTTCTAACGTACTTGTTCTCCAAAGAGAATTCTCACCTGGGATTTGAATGCACCCCAGTTAAAGCAGACCTGGAGGCCCTTTGCTCACATCTTTCTTCTCTATCTCTTTCCTAGGTCTCCTATCCACAGCCCAGCAGCTGGACCGAGAGAAGAAGGATGAACACATCCTGGAAGTAAGTAATGGCCATAAACTCATAACTGGGATTCAGAAACCTCCTGAAGGAGGTATTTATGGAGCTAAGGCAGGCCTTGGAGCCACAGGAAAGTCTCTAGCACTGTGGCTCATGAAGGTACTGAGCTCAGGAAGGAGGTCACATGTGAGCTGAGCTGGTGGTAAAGATCATCGGATCTTTGCAGGCTCTTCAGCACAGAGAGGGGAAGGAATCTGAAGCCATGTCTAGGTCTGTCAGGAACCACTGATTGGGATGTGGTGCCTGCAGTGAGCACAGGAAGGGGAGCAGGTGCACGTGTGCTATGCTCTTGCTGGTTCTGGTGTCTAATCTATCTTCCTGGCCCAGAGACAGAGAGAGAGAATCATCTGCGATCAGATGGTAGGTCAGTAGCAAAGGCAGGATGAAAATGCAGGACTTCGTCTTCCAGTTCTGTGCTCTTTTTAGGACATTTTAGAAATCACATAGGCTTCTCTGGTTTCTATTCCAGTGAGGGGCTTCAGTCATTGACCCCAAGAGGATTAAATTAGAAGGACATCGAACGGAGAAATCTAGCTATTTTTCCTTCTGATCTGTCTATAACTGATGAACAGGCATTTCTTCTAGTCTTAAAGGCACCAGGAGGGAGCGATATATACTCCTAGAAATTTTAAATGCATTTTTCTTGCTATGTTCCCAGGT